TTAGACGGAGCCTCACTGTGTCATCACAATCTCAGCTCACTGCAACCTCCGACTTCCTGATTCAAGAGATCCTCCTGCCTCAGCCTCCCGAGTAGCTGGGATTACAGGCATGTGCCACCACGCCCAGCTAATTCTTTTTTATTTTTAGTAGAGACGGGGTTTCACCACATTGGCCAGGATGGTCTTGATCTCCTGACCTCATGATCTGCCCGCCTCAGCCTCCCAAAGTGTGGGATTACCGGCGTGAGCCACTGTGCCTGGTCCAGATCTCCTGTTAATTGGTGGCGACACTCAGGCTTTGGTTCACCTCGGGCCCTCACTGTGACTGAGGTAGAGAAAGGACACTCCCTGTCCCTTTACAGCATGCCCCACTGCAACACAAGCAGGGGCTGTGCTGGGCTCTGGCTCTCTGCCAGAACCGAACTGGAAAAGAGCCTAGGAGAACAGGGACTGTGAAGTCCCAGCTGGCTGGCTCTGTCCCAGGCCCGGTGCTGCAGGCGGTACAGGCCTCCTCTCTCTGTGTCTTCCTGGTGGACGGCCATCCCCAGCTCTCAGGGGAAGGCTAGGCCCTGTTGGGCTAACTTCTCACCCAAGTTTCACTTCGAGGAAGGAACCGGAACAGGACACAAATCCAGACCACGGGACCTGCGAGCTCATGCCCATGGCGGCCACAGACCACGCAACCTCATGAGTGCCTTCCCGACTCCCTCTACCACAGTGGGCCCCAGCCTGTCCTGGAAGTCCCCTCCAAAGACATCGTGCTCCCCCCAGCCAGGCGGCCTGTGGGCTGGTGCCAGGTGTGGCACTACCCTCCAAATGGACAGCTGGGCAGCCTCCGAGACCGGCTTGGTGATTGGAGCTGCGACCTCCACAGCCTTCAAAACTGTTCTCAGGGCGGCGCCCAGCTATGGAACTCGGGGACGTGGGGAGTTCCCGACAGAAAGCCCACCCAGCTTCCCCAGAAGGGGGTCCCTCACATGCTCCAGGGCCGTGGAGTGGGATCTGGTAGCCCCAGATGAGGCTGTCCTGGGTGGTCTGGGACCCAGTTCGGCAGGCTACAGGGGGCCTGGGGTTCTGCATTTTACCACATTCCCAGGAGAGGCCGACGCTGCTGGTCCCCAGCCCATTTTGAGTAGCGACGCTTCAGAGTTGGTTCAGTTTCTTTTCAGCAATCACAAGGGGCCAAGTGAGAGCCTGATGGAGCCTGGCCAGGCAGGTGTGTGTGAAGGGGACATCTCCCCAGGATGGGGAGGGGGCTGCAGGCAAGGGGTGGGAGAGGCAGGCAGCCGTCCGGAGCAAACAGCACGGATGTGGCCTTAGCCCTGAAGCAGAGCCACTGAGAAGCACCTGAGACAAGGCTCTGGCACTTCTCCCTTCCACATGGGAACCTCCTCCCAGAGCCAAGACCACCCCTCACCCAGCAGGTGGAGTTGTCTGCCTGACACTCACAGATGGGGCAGAGGTCACTCTCTGGAGCCCTCGCACCTAGGAGCCAGGGTCTCTGTCTCCTCCACTACTCCCTCCAAGTTCCACCAGCCCCAGCCCTGGGTAGGCTGAGGGCCAGCATAGGCCCTGGGGAAGGTGTCCGGTTCAAAGTCCCACTGGGTCCCCTACTAGTAGCTGTGGGAATGTGACGCAGCCTCAGTTTCCTCAACGGTCAAGTAGAGACCACGTTCACCTTAAAGGGTTGCTTAGGATATGAGGAGATGTACATGGCGGGCGTGATGCCCCAGGGGCATCCAACAGACCAGGTCCCCCACAAAGGCCACAGTGGGGTCAGTGCTCACAGCTCTGGGAGGTCAGACGTTAAAAGTCGCAGGCTGCGGGGATGGGAAGGGCACTGGAGGGAGCTCCAGCCAGGCATGGCATCGCTCCTACTCCCCTCTTCCTTGGGTACGCCCTGCTGGCACTCACTCTCAGGGCGCAGTGGATCCCGCCTGGATCCAGGTCCCCCAACTCTGGGCGGCTCCTTCCATCCACTGAGTGCCCAGGATCAGTCCACGGTCATGACTGTCAA